TAATCAAATGAACTCAACAAAAAAAATTCTAAAGCTCACAATGTTACACATAATCTTGAGAATGATTTAAGATACTTATATGAATAGTTAAAAAAGTGAAAGTGTGAAGGAATATTTGCGGATAAGTGACAAATGGGTTGTGACAAAGATGTGAAATTATGTTTATTAAACTTTTAGCCTATAGGTGATATGAAATGTTGATGTTTGAGTTGAGAATGTTTTGTGCAATGTTTGAAACGCTAGTGAATGATGATATGTGAGATGATGATAATGTGTGGTATGAGATGCTTATGTGTAATGTGTGCGATAAGGGAACATTATAAAATGTAAGTGTTGTTTTGTTTGAGAACTTGATGTACAAAATTTGAGATGCTTGGCGTGTTCGAGGTGATGTTGGTGATGAGATGAAAAAGTATAACGAAAGCTTGATCTTTTGAAGAAATCTAGACCAAGGTCTGAAAACACAATGACATTGGTGTTGTACATATGCATAATTGTCATTTATTATTAATGAAGTTGTTTGGTGTCCATTCATTCATGCATATTTTTGTTTAAAGGCGGTAGTAAATATATGCAAGAAAGTCTCTATGATTTTCTACCTTGGCCTTTGGGGTATTTTTGTGGGGATCCTCTAACAAGTATGGGAGGTGAGCATGCACCACTATGATACCCTAACTGTATCTTGATAGATCTTCTCCTAGTATAGAATGGATTGAGAAGGTCAATCAGAGAGTGGTGATTCGGTCCATGTGCTCGTAGGCTACCTCGTATTTGGAACACCTTTGGCAATATTTGGGTATTGGTATCATATGCATATAGAATTAAAAGCATAAGGCTGCATGAGTCCTTGAAGAGGTGAACGTGTATAATTTTATGATTGATATGTTGTGTTAGAGTACTATCTATATTTCTTATGTGTGTGTGTGTGTGTGTGTGTGTGTTTATACACGTTTGAGATATATTCTCATTCCTCATATGTTTTTTGTTCCTATTATTCTTATTTGGGTTGAACATATGTTGAAGTTGATAAGGTAAAAGAGTTTAAATTTGTTGGAGATGAAGCTTAAGCTTTGATTTATGTTTGATCAGATTGCTTTGATTGGTGTGGCATTGAGGCTAGTGAATTAGTTTATGTTTTCCTTGTGTTTTATCCCAAGAATGTTTGTTTTTAGTTTTGAATTTCCTTTGAAAAGAAATGTATCTCTAGGAATATTCATAATAAACGTTTTGGGGTAAATGGGTGTCACAATGTTGACAACAAGGCTTAAGCCTTATGTTATATGTGAGGGTCGAGCTCTTATATATGTGACATTAGAGTTCATAGCTTAAGAGTTGTTATTATATTTACATGGGTTTATTTCATCTTGTCTGGGATCATTTGTTAGTTTTTGGATTGATGTAATGTTTTGATGACCACTTTGGTCTAGCATTTTTTTTTATTTTCAGACAATTATGCTTTTGAATTTGTTTCATTTGAAGCAAATGAGAATCATGTATATAAAGAATTTAAGAACTATTTTCAATTGTTAATGAAGTCTTTATTCAAGAAACATTTTGCTGTCTCTTATTTTTATTGATATAATATGTGGGATAGAGGGTGTTACAATATATATTTTATATAATTCATTTTTTAATAAATAAACACTTTTAGATATATAAATTGTATTAAATAAAAAAAAATTTACTCATAAATTGTATTTTAGATTTATGATAAATAATTTGTATTATGATAAAAAAATTAATTTTAATTATTGATAATTTAAAAAAGTATCCAAATTAATTTAAAAATAAATATGAAAAGAATAAATTGAAAGATTGAAGAGTTTAAGAAAATGTCTGAAAACACCGTTCATACAAATAAAATATTTAAAAACACTATCATTTCATAATAACAATTAAAAATACTCCCATTCAAAATAATTATAGTATTCTAATTTATATAGAGAAGTTTATAATTCAAAATAAATAAGTATTTTTAAATTATTATAATTAAATTTTATAAGAAATAGATATTTTAAATATATAACTTATATTTTTAATTGATAATAAATAATTTAAATTATGATATAACATTATTTTTAAATTAAAATTTATAAGTGGTTAATAATTTGAAATAATTCAAATTAGAATTTTTTTGGCCAATTACGGTTGTGAAAATAGTGTGTGAAATATATCTCTCAGTGAATCAAAAAAGAGTTTAACTTGCAGATTCTAATGTATAATGTAAGAGTAGATTTTGTTACTGCATGACAAAGTATATCACTCTCCTTATAGTATTACAGAATCCTGCAACTTTTTCGCCATTTATTTTCTAAAGAATTAAAGATAAGTTGACTATGTCTTAAGCATAATAGGAACATGTTTTGAGTTTTGACTCATTTTCAGAAGTCATTTCTCCTGATTGATTTAACAATTATTAAAACATCATTAGAGAAAGAAAGCCAATGATTAAGTTAAACCTTCAGATTCATGCATTATTATTTTGCAGTTGGTTAACTTAGCCATGTGGGGTACAAAGATTCCAGTTATTGATTCGATATTGATCATAGAGACCATAAAGTGATATTTTTCTTATGTAGTTTGTGGATATAAAATAAACCCAACATAATCTTTTAACCCCTAAAAAATATATGCAACTTTATAAGGGTTAATATCAGTCCTTTTCCAACTTGCCACTTCAAGAAAGATATAGGTGTAGGGTAAATAGAGAGAGAGAAGAAAAAGTAGTCCATATACAACCAATTTGGATGGCTTAAATTAATTATATTTTGTTTAGATCTTCACCAATGGGTCCCATCACTATCTTTATTGGCATTCTCCTTGTTTATGTTTCACACAACTTGCTTTACTATCTTGAAAAAATATACCATAATCTCATTCGGAAGTTGACAATGTTTGAGAAAAGAAAAATAATAATTCAGGTTCTTTTCTTCTTTTTTTTTTCGTGGGAAAAATGATCAAGACTCGTGAATAAGGAATCAAATTTGTGATAATTGATGGGGAGAATATGGAATGAAACACGATGGTGGTGGGATTTGATAGCATTTTGCAGTTCAAGTACAAGCATGGAAAGTCCCCACACCACACCCCTATTACAAAGGAAAAGAGGAAAAAAAATGTGGAATTTTTGTTTTAAAAGCAACTTAAACCAATGGTTGTTTCAAGAACTCAAGATAAGAATGTCATATCACTAACTCAACCTATGTAAGAAGGCACATGTGATCCAAAGTGTAGGATAAGAATGAGAGTTAACACTATTTCAAGATATGTTAGATTTCTCCACCTTGATTTTTTTTTTTTTTTCCTTCACCAAAAGTTACTCTTTGATGCCCTTATCTTCATTGCTTTTTTTCTTTTATCTTACTTTTATAACTGAGCAGATTTTATGCTTAGAGCAAGCCTGAATAGTAATTGTTAATAATAACAGGAATATTACACACATTCTGATACACCTTTTTCAACAGTATTTTACTGTGAAATTCATATAAAACTTGCTCTTTCCATTTCAAAATAGTAACATTTAAATACCCTTAAACTTGACTTGTTTTAAACCAAAGGAATAACTAAATTAATAAATTAAATTCATTAAATATAAGTTAAAGATCCATGTTATTTAATATACTTTATATAAATATTCACCCAACAATAAGTTGAGATTCATCGTGACATGTGAGTCCTACGTTGTTTAGTGGACTTCGTACATAATTTCACTAAACAATCAAATGCTCATAGTTTGATATTTATGTTTTTAATTAAAATTTAATTTAATTTCTATTTTTTATATAAAATTACAGTTGGAATTATCACACTTTTTTAGAGGCCGATTTAGTAGAAAGAAATTATACTTTTTAATAAAAAATAAATAAAAACAAAAAAAAAACTGGGTTATATATTGTGATGCTGACAATTTCTGATCTCGTTAATCATTGTGAATATGGATGCTATTAGAATACTTTAATAATATATTGCCTTAATTGTAGACAACTGCACAAGTAACATTTTTAAGAGGAACAAAAAAACCAAATTATGTCGGGTCATTTGAGTCTTGACTCTTAACAGAGACACGTTTATTGGTTTGTTTATGTCGATGTTAGTTGTTTGTTAGTGAGGAAAATTAACTCATATCGACATTAATTGTTTTTAGTGAAAAAAAGGAGAAAAAAAATATAAATATCAATCTCATACTTAATTCTCCCACCAATTTTAAATATATATATATATATATATATATATCATAATAATTAAAATATTAATAAAATTGAATAGTAAATATTTCTGTGTTGAAAACATAAAAATCATATCTATATTTATTTATATATATATATATATATTGTTCAGGGTATAAATAAATGTTAACTAACTTCACATTATTTAACGTTATCATTTCTAAAATATCCTTTCATTTAATTGAAATTATATTTTTAATGATAATTTTTATTTTTAAAATTAAATATGTTTTTAGTTTCTGAATTTTTGATATTTTTTGTTTAGTTCCTGGACAAATTTTTTTTTTATTGCTAATTTAAGTCTTTGATTTTTATTTAGTCTTTGAACCTTTTTTTTCATTAACATTTTGGTTTTTAACATAAAAAATTTTATTAATAAAAAGTTTCAGAGACAAAATCTAAATAAAATTTGTCCAATTACTATGATGCAAAAATTCATTGAACTATGATGCAAAAATTGATGAATGTTATGGGGTGAAAAACATATTTAATCCTTATTTATATATCAAACTTTCATTTTTTTTATTTAACATGGATTACAATGACAATTATAAAATTTAAACTTAAAAATCTTGTAAATACTACTTAAACTTTTACCATTAAGCTGATCGTAGTTTTAATGATGGGTAAGAATAAAGGTTATCTTTTAAATGGAATTAGTGAAATTACTCGATGAAGTAATTCTCTTAGTTAGCGTGAATTTTGGATTTTTTTTTTCTTATATTAGGGAGTAATTTATGCCATTAAGCAAGATAGATAATTGTTCTTGTGAGATATTGAGACACAATGATTGCCTATTTCTGCCAAAAAAAATTATGTCATCATGTTACTTGCCAGATCTACAAACAGTGGAAAATGCTCTACCTGATGGGACATAGGAGCTGAGAACAAAACTGGCCCATAATGAAGGACCTGTCTACTACAATTTCTCGAAGTTAGACAACAAAAACTCTCCATTAGACACAAATTGCATGGCCACCACACTACACAAATTTGGTGCATATCTTGGCGCTTTCATGGTTGATTCCACCATCCAAACCCTCCAATTAAGGATGTTTCAGGGACTGCTATTAGTTAAAGGTGGAAGAACCTGGAAAGTAGGGGAAAAAAAAAAGGAAGCTAATGAAGAAGGAACATAGCAAATTGGAGGTGACTTGTGCAAATGGAGTCATAAAGTATGGATTATGATATGTAACAAAACCATGACCAAAGGTTTTAAAGTGTGAGTTAGTTGCTTAGGTATTATTGTTTGTTTCAATCATGGCTATTCCTAGGGGACCGCAATAAGTCATGGATTGAGCAAGTGTCTATTTTTGAGGCCCCATGACAAGATACACAACTTGGTACAAATACTTAGTGGTATACAAATTTTAGCAGTTAGTTGACTAGCTTTAATTTTTATGCATGGACCACCCCAACAATATTTATTTTAGCTTGACTAAAGATAAAAGCATCACACACAAAGTGGAGGGTACATATTCAATTTTCATGACATTTTTTCAGGATAAGGTAAAAATTGTAATGTTCAGCATTCAACCTGTGAATAATTACTATCTGACGACATCAGAAAAAATGTTAAGTTAGTTCTAGTTGAGAGAGAGAAAGGAGCAATTAATCATGCATCATCTAACCTTTTCAAGCTTATGCATGCTCACCCAACATGTTGCTTTTGGCAAAATATTGTGCTTTGGTCATGCAATCACCCTAGGAGGCTAGGACATCATGTAAGCCAAGGATAAAAGGATGACCTAATCTAGTTGAATAAATCATCTCCATCTAAAGCTAGCATGTTAAGGCTAGGGATGCATCTTAATTTAAGTCCTTTCACATTAACTAAATATTACATCTTTAAACAAAGTGGATGACATACTACTAATTATTGCCCTGCCTTTACTGTGCTTATGCACATCAGCACAAGAAAATCCACACAAATATATTATGTTCCATTTAACATCAAATAAGGAGGACCCTTCATATATCAGTGTCCAAGCAATTGTTATAGTGGTTATGCATGATAAGAAAAGAACAACTGTATTACTTTTAGTTTTAAGGTAGCCAGCCACTTTTACTGAAACTAATTTCTGTACAATAAATTTATTGTAGCATTGCACGGCAGAAACCAATTTTTGTGGAGGTATTCACCTCTAGATCTCATAACTCTTATTTTATTTTAATTTTCCTCCATTCTTCTTGTTGCTTTTGTTATGAATTGAACAATATTGTACAGTCACTGGTAAATTCATACATATATGTATATATATATATAAATGAGCAGGCAGACACATACTGTGAAAGCATACACGGGCTTCTATCATCTTGCAATTATCTTGTTAGTCGTAGGATCTTGTAAGGGCGCTTCTAAATTAACTAACCTGTGAACAATGACAAGAACTGTTAATGAAAATTATAGTATCAGAACCTCAAGATACAATGGATTTTAACTGCAAAATCATTTTTCTATAAAAGGGTAGGAATAATATAATATAAAACTGTATAATGTCATGAAATGTTGTTGACCAATTTTTGTTGATGTAGTACTCAAATTATACACTCAAAAGTTCTATTCAATGTGAAACTTATAATGATGATCTAAGTCTGACTAATAAGAGAAAAAGGAGAACAATTTTTTCAGCCATCCATAGAAAGCTATGCAACTTCGAAATTCAACGTAATATACCAATGTAGAATGTTATCAACCACAACGATTTTGAATAAATTATAGAGCAAGTATTAATTATTCAAATAAGTTATTTTTTATTCTAGTCTCTTACGAAGACGAGTTTAAACCTAATTCAATCTTATAAAATTAACTTCTAAGGTAAATATTATTCTCGATTTATATACTATTTTTATCTTATCACTAGTAAATGTAAGTTCTTTACTACATCTCATGTCAAAGACTGGACATTTGGGGGTGGTTGGATAATGGCCCAGTAGTGGGTGGTCTGATAAACCTAAAAACAATCAATAATTGCTACAATAGGACATGATACTATCTTAAGAAAGTAAAATTAAGCTTAACTCAATCTTACAAAAACGACTTGTAAAGTGAGGATTTCTCCCCACTTATTTGTACACAATATTTTGGCTTATCACTAGTCATGTGGGGTCTCCAACGTAGTCAAAGCACCATTGTTTGTTTAGAAAAAAAGTTATTGGCTGTCTACATGGTGACAAGTTAGCATCTGTTTGTCACCACCTGTTTACCAACGGGAACAGGCAAAAGGTGCAACTTCATATAACTGATGTGGTATCCTGATTTTGTTGTTAGCCAAAGCAAGGAGAAGAATGTAAGTGGCTTACCCATTTTGCCACTCACAGCCTCATCAATATTAGCTGCTCCACTCATGTTTCCACTGCTATTGCCGGGTGTAATCATTGTTTGACTATGTTGTACTGCCTGGGGACCATATCTGAATACATTCATTGGCTTCAAGACAAAAGCAAGATACAAAGCAAATTAATTTCAATAGGTAAACTATGGGAAACTTCTCAAGAAGGCATAAGGGGTTCCAAACTTCCAATTACCTGAGAGGCATTTTGCATAAGGTGATAGCTCATGAAACGCGCATATTGCTCTGATAGAGCTGGATTTTGCATCTGATTTTGGTAATTGAAGGCTCCTAGAATAGGATTTTGGCACATTAATGTCTGGTTTGGTGTCTGAGATGCAGACACAGACTGATCAAGCGGCACTCGCGGTAATTGCATTGAATTGTGAATAGCTGGAGGGAAAGGAGGTGTAGCCATTCCCATACCCATTTGTGACATATAGTGCTGAATTCCTGGAAACATCATTGGTGCCATGCCAGATCCCATCCACATTAGCTAGCAGCAAGAACAGAATTGTTTAATTTGATTGTTAGTAATGTGAGACAATTGTTATATGCAAGATATTATGTGTCAAATACTCAAATATACCTGAAGTTGTAACTGAAGTGATTTCAAGTATTCAATTGCCTCTTCCAGCATTGATGCTTTGTCTGTCTGCACACACATCCCTTACTAAGTTTTTAAGCCACTATGATTAAATCTCATAAATGAAGAATCAATCTTTAAGTACTTGCATTTTGTCTTCTACACTTGACTACTTCACACATTATTTTATGTGCAAATCAGGTCCAATTGTTTTGTGCTAAGTATAGCTCCTAGCAGTAGTGATTTTCATTTTCCTTTAAAAATCAACTATTTTCTTTCTTCTTCTTTTTTAAAGCCTAGCAGTCAGAGAATCACAATTGCAGCTTTATCTGACTCTGAATGCATCTACAAAGAACATATTATGACAGTACAGTCCACATTCATTTATGATCACTAACCTTGCTACTGTGAGGTATGAGTTGTTGCAATGCCTTCATCTTCTCATTGATCCTATCTCTCCTTCTCTGCATTAATAAAAAATACTGCCACTTGTAAGAATAAAGTTTACAAGAATTAAGGTCACTAGAAATGTGCCAAAACCCCTACCCTTTCTGACAGATTGTGCACTTCAGCAGCACGGTTCCTTCTAGCCGAACCTGCCCGTTGAGATGCCTTGTTTCCAGTTGCTGATTTAAGTTCAGTTTCCTATTACACATAAAGTGATAGCTCAGTGCACCAAAGAATAAAAGCATCTAATCACGAAGGTAGCTAAAGAGAGTGAGGCTTCACCTCACTTTGATCCTCAGATTCTTCCACATCCACTCCTTTTCTCTTTTGGCCCTGGTTTCTGGTGGATAAGGAACAAGTTTTTCCAAGACTACTACCTGATCCACCAGAAGAAGACGTCGTAGTTGGTTCAAGCATCTCTGATTTCCCTTTCTCACTCTGAGGAATTGTTCTCGGCACATCATCTCTATCAGCTTCAGGCTCAACCGATAAAGTAGCAGTCCAAATACCGTTGCTTGATGCCCTGCTTGCATCTGGATCTTGGGGGATGTGATTGCTACCACAGTAACTTGAACCAATTGTCATCAATGAGCCCTCTCTGATCTCATTTTTTGACATGCTACCAGTAATTTTGTCTCTAAAATGTGCATTAGGCGACGCTGAAGAAACATTAAGGGGTGCTGAAAAGTGAGAGAAGTTTTGGACCTTACATGATCCACCCAAGTCATTATTGTTTTTCTGAGGTGAATCAGAAACATGGAATCTTGGAGCAGGTATAGGAATTCCTGAGAATTCCTGAAAAGGGGAAGATTTCATAGTAGGTGATTGTGAACTTACAGTCACATGGGGGGCACTAGAGGCATCCAATTTGGTAAACTTTCCCTCTTCAAATGGCTTGATTTGCTTATAGGACTCAACTTCACAGTGTGGCAGTTCAGATAAAAGGTTTGAACAGAATTCTTGTTCCAATGTATCCTCGAGAGGGTATTGGATCCATGAGACCGTCTCATCATCTTGAATCAAGTTACTTGAGTTCCCAAACGGCTCACTAGTCCTTGATTGAAAGTTTTTCAGAACTGGCCTCGGTGCGAACGAATTCACAACCGGTTTTCTATGTGTTTGGCTGTGCAACACAACCTGGCCATTTTGCCATAGGAGCTCTACAAGTTCTTGGTCCACCCTGTAGAATTGACCACATGGATTGTTACAATTTAAGCAGAGTTAATTTTGGACAAGAACAGTATTTTCTGCTTTGACATAAAAAAATTGCACACACCCCATGGCCTTCTTTTGATTGGTGGTGGTGACACAGGAATCACTCCCAAAATTCCAATCAGGAACACTGTTGTTCATGGCTAACCAAATCAGTTATCTGTTGGCACAAAAACAAAAGAATTTTAAATTTTGTATAGAATAGAAAAATCAAAACCAAAGACCCTTTTGAGTGCCAGATTTTGACTCCTTGTGCACACCCTTCAAAAGCATAATAAAATAATATGTACACCAGCAAAGTGAATAATCAAACAAGCAGAAACAAATATTTAAATTGAAAAAAGAAATAAAAAGAGAAAGACTTTGAGTGGGTCATGTGTGGAACTTTACTAGAAGAAGAGAGAGCAAGCAAACCAATAAAATGGAAACATAAGTTGGTTTTAGTTTTTCCCATTCTGAAGTATGAATAAATAAAGCACCCAAAAATTCAAATTCCAAGGTCCCCAAAAGGGAAATTCAACTCTCACTAACAGTTGGAAGGTACATGCACATTTTCAAGCCCAGAGAAACAAAAACAACGAAATAAAAGAATCCAAACAAAACATTAAACCCAACAAATTGGGCAAAATTTGAGGCAGCTAGCTTGCAGAAAGATGTACTAACTCCACAAGTCTCATACATAGGCAAACACTAAGTCAAAGAAAAACACTTAAAATGAAAGACACAGAAAATGATGAAACTTTTTTTCACTTTCATGCAAAAAAGAGAACCCCATGATTCATTTTAGTTATTACCATTATTTTCAGCAATCACATTAGGACAAGGAGCATAAAAGAAGAAAGAACCCCACCTGGGATAAGGCAAAGGCAGTTTTTTTTTTTTTTCTTTTTCTTTTTCTGACTTGTTGAGCTTAGAAGGAGGCTAGAAGCTAGAAACTAGAAACAGAAGCTCCTTGTTTGTTCCCTCTTTCTCTCTGTCTCTTCATCTCTACAAGTGTGAGAACAAAGTATATAGGAGAGTTTTTAACAGCAATAAAGAAAGTGACATCAGCAGATTGAGAGAGAGAGAGAGAGAGCAAAATTCCTAAGGTAAAATGGTGCTTGTGCTTCTCAACAGCGAGAAAAACATGGCTACATGGGAATAAATGAACATGGGACCAGTTGACGGCTATTGACGATAAAAATTAAAAAGAAAACACAATTCAAGAGATTTAATCACAAATAAATACGTTAACTTTTAAGAATATAAACGATAATTTGAATTGGAACATAACTGTTTTTAATCACATTATTAAAGCTAAATATTTTATCAACTTCACTTATATCTTAATTCAAATTTATGTAATAAAATATTAAGTAATTTTAAAATTTTATAAAAAGTTATAAACGTGATGTTCTTAATAAGTATTTTTAATTTCATGATTGAATTATTATAATTAAATATATAAAATAAATTACTGAATTAAATAATTTTATCAAAAGTTGTTAACTAGATTGTTAGTTGGGATGTTAATGGGATGATATGAATACATGTATCCTTTCTCTAAAATAAATATTTATTTTTTACTTATTTTTATATTTGTGTAAATATTCATTAAGTGGATTTCTATATATTTTATCAATATTTGCGAATATCTTGGATATTTATTTTTAAAAAATATTTTTTAAAGAATATTTTAATAATAATTTCTACTTATTCTAATAACCTTTTTAAAAATAATAGTTTAAAAATCAAAACTTAAATTATTTAAATATTATACACAATTTTATTAATCAAAATTTTTTAATTTAAAAATTAAATTTAATTGTTAAATTACTTCAACATAAATTTAAACAAATTTAGCAGTATACACATATTATGATACTTATTTAGCTAACATATAAATATAGAAAATACTTCTACTTGTTATTTTCAGGTATTTATTTATAATATTTATTTTCTACTTATAACATATTTTATATGCAAATATCCACAACAAGTACAATTTTTTTTATATCCCTAATTGCTACCTTATCTTTAGAAGAATATTTTTTTATGTACATGATCCGAGTATTATTATATAGCTAACAATTAATGATTAATCTATATTTATAAAGTATAATTTCTTTTAATTAAACATTATTTTAATACACAAAAATTAAACTTGAGAACATCAAATTCTTAGCATCTCGGAACATGTCTTAGAACTATTGAAATAAGAAATTTGATTTAGTTTATAAGGATTATTCTCACCATCATATTGGCTTTTTTTTTTTTCACTTATAAAGCTCAAAATCGGAAATTTTTTTTAAAAAAAAAAAAAAGAGTTTAATTTAATCTAATGAAGATATGAAAATTCCAAATTTGCTTATTTGGGGTTTGGTTGTTATATTTAAAATGAAAGGAAATCTAAAGCTCCAAGCACATGGTGGGTGCTATCTCAAGTTTCGTGGAGGATGGTGCCACTTGGCAGTGACAAGCTGTGTTTCCATTGGGGAAATGATAAGGGACAACGCTGTCAGAAAAAGATGTGGCTCTCATGCACCTTCAAATTATCAAACACCAAGAACCTATCTCATAATATTATTGGTTCTGATTTGTTTTGTTTTAATACTCTTCTTGTCATATTTTATTTAATCCACGTGTGTATTGTTGTAATTAGATTATTATCAATTTGTGGCTACTTAATTCTTTTTTCTTTTTTTTTTTTTGCCAAAGCAAATGTTCTACTTGTGAGAAATTGTAGTGTTGCAAACGAATGTGGACCTGACTTAGGTTTCCATTTTTCATGGGCATGGTTGCACTACCCTTCCTGGCATGTACCCCTTAAGGGCATACAACAAATTATTGTTACAATTTATGATCGGATAAGACTGGAAAAAAAAAAATATTTTAATATTTTTAATTTACCCCCTTGTAATTGGTGTAAATTAATCAATAGTCAAGTTAAATAGTAAAAATATTAATTCAGGGAATTATTTTGACTACAATTATAAACTGATTAAATGAGCAATAATTGAGTATATTATATAATATAGTATTGAATAATAAATTCATGTAAATTTATAAAAACAAACTTAACTAAATAAAATATTAAGTTGGTATAAAGGATTATATTACATACAATAATATTAAAAATTATAATTAATTTATATATATTAAACATGAATTTCTATAATTATGTAAAAATATTTTTATTTTTAGAAATTTTTATTTAATAAGAGAGTTTTTAGATTTTTTAACTTTTTATCTAATTAATTTTTTATTTATCATAATTATTTATGAATTAAATTTTAATATTTTAATTAAATTATCAATAAATAAAAATAATATTGTGTTATAATAGAAGTTATTTATCATAAATCAAAAAAAAAAATTATATATTTAAAAATATCTATTTATACAAAATTTATAATTTATATATCTCAATATAATATTTATTTATATATAATTTATTATAAATTTTAGTTATATACAATAAATATTTAATCTGGGCATACACTGATTAAAAAATACTAGTAAAAATTGCAAGTTATATGTAATCCTCATATGAACCTTTATTTATTTAAGAAAATGTTTTCGAATGAAAAGTTAAAAAAAAAAAAATTAATGGCTTAAATTCAGTTTTATCTAATTTTAACATTTTTTATCAATTGTTGGCGGATTTTCTTATTGATTAGTTGTAGGTTTTATCTTCTATTTTATCTGTGACTGATATGATAGAAATATATATATAAGGACATATAGAAAGGAATTTATATATCTATCTATCATATTCAAATAATAAATAGTGTTGGTGTGCAACACATGAAGGGATACAACATAAGATTTTCTCATTATTGCTTGCAAGAGTTGACCGAGTCTTACGCCTATTTATTTTAATAATACTGAAAGAATGCAGTTTTATCTGGTTTTTAAGAAATAAATTCGAAACTTGAATATTATAGTTACGGATAAATTAATTAAAAGTAAATAAGTTTATTTATGAAAAAAATAGAGTATATAAAATATAAATTTAATAAGACATAAGTTAGTAATATTTTGAGGTGAATATTGGAATTATTAGAGTACAAATAAAGTCACATCATTGAACTATGATGAGAAATATATAAAGGTTTATAAAATAAACATAATTTTCATTAATATGAGACTTTTTAGAAGATAATTAAAGTAAGATCACAGCGGTTTAGAGCTAAAGTAGACAACATCATATCAATGTGAAGATATCTATATGTAAACCTTGAGTGTCCAATCAAAGCTCATGCTTTATTCAACCTGTCACTTAAGTATTGAAGATTGATATGAGGCGATTCCAATACTCATAGAATGGAGACAAGAAATACTATAGAGCAAAAATAGGAACTCTTGATATGAGAAGAACTACTCGACCATCATTTCCTTAAATGAAAGAAAAGGTCATATGGAAGAGGGTTTACCAAGTTTCGTTATAAAACTTATGAGGGAGTTTCAAAGTTTCACCCATAAAACTTGTGAGAAATAGATTTTCAAGTTTAACTCAATATTGGAAAAATAATTCAAATTTTCAAATTTAAATCTCTAATATATTATTTAGATTTTAAAAGATATTGATTCTTTTAGGATATTGTTTAGAATTGAAATATATTGTATTTATTTTAGAGATTTATTTCCTCTTTTAAGATTATGATTAAGGTCGATAAATATAGACTCTTGAGATTGACTTATAGAATGGGTCATTCCCTTAAATAAGAGAGGAGGTCATATCAATAAGGGTTTCCAAGTTTCGCAAAAAATACTTGTAAATGAGGATTTTCAAGTTTCACCAAAAAACTTGTGATTGAGAGTTTTCAAGTTTTGCTAGCAAACTTGTGAGGAAGGGTTTCCAAGTTTTGATAGAAAACTTGTGAGAAAAGGGTTTCTAAGTTTCATCCACAAAACTTAAAGGGGGATTTTCAAATATATTTGTAACATATTATGATAAATAATGAACATCATTATGGATATAGGCATAAGGGGTTAAACCACGTTAAATAAATGTATTTTTCTTTTTTATTTTTTATGGTGTTTTTTTAATGTATTTCTCATCATTATTATGCGTAAAAAAAAAGGAGATTTTTGTTTCCAACACCCACAAAACTTGAAGGGAGAATTTTTAGGAACATACACATAATACATTTTGAGATAATGAACATCTTTATGGATGTAGTATTGAACATATATGCACAAATATGCAGAAGAAAAAAAATTGTAAAGCAAAGAACCAAAGAAGAAGATAAAGGAAAAGAGAGAAAGGAATAGAAGACATAGAACAACTGAAATTTCTCTATTATTATTGAATTGTTAGAATGATACAAGAGTTTCCTTTATACAAAGAGAGAACCAATAAAACTAAAAATAACAGAAAAAACTAAAAAAATAAGAAACTTATAAAAATATCAAAACTAACTTAATAACTAATTAAATAAGCTAAAATGGAAAATAAACTACAATATCCAATATCCAATATCCAATATCCCCCCTCAAGATAGTAGGAATATGTTAAGGATGCCCATCTTGGATAAAAAGTTTAGGAAAGGAGCCTTGGAAGAGCCTTGGTTTGAATGTCAACTAACTAAAAATGTTTTCTTACATGGATTAGTCTAATAGTACCTAAAGTCACCTTCTCTCGAACAAATTGTAGATCAATCTTGATATGCTTGTCCCTTTCATGGAAGTTTGGATTAGTTGCAATGTATATAGCAGCTTGGTTATCACAATATACCATGCTTGGAGATCTAGGAACATGGGAGTCTATAAGTAAATTGGAAATTCAAGTGAACTCACTAGTGACAGAGGCTAATGATCTGTATTTAGCTTCTACTGACATGAAATTAAGTTGCTTCCCATGAATATGTAAAAACCTATTGTAGATTTTCGAGTGTTTGAGCAAGAAGCCCAATCCTAGTCCACAAAAGCATGCAATCTCAATTTTGAATTTAACTTAAAAAGCACTCCTTGACCTATTGTATGTTTGATGTATCTCAAAAGTTGATGAGCAACAGTGAGATGTGTTGTATGAGGATTTGACACAAATTGACTCAATTTGTGTATTGCAATAAGCCTTCTATATTGACATGGATAAAATAATTTAGTACCAGATATGACAGTAAGACTT